TTAGACTCGCCTTCTTCATCTTACGAGAGAGTTTTGTGGTCAAGCGACCTACGGCTCCCTCGGTTTTCTCAGGGTTAATGAGGAGGTCGCGACATCTGACCGAACGCCTTCCGTCGTGACAGTCAGCTCGAATATTTATGGGAAATTGTGGATCATGGGAATAACTCGGAAGCTACGGAATTATGAGAAGTTTTTTAATCAGTCGCTCTCGAGGAGCCTCTGGTTAATTGATGAAATTGGGTCGCTGGAAGATACCACTTCTTCTGCTAGTCATTTTCTAGTTCTTAGACGTAGAAATTTAAGATACGATTTGAAGGTTTAGAAGCTTGGGAAGATTTGAAAATTTGAGAAATCGGGACTTGAACGTGGATTTGTAGAAATTTGACAATTTGAGAATTCGGTAATTTGGAAATTTGGGAAATGAGGATTTGGACATCTACAGATTTCCAGATTCGGAAATTTAAGAATGTGAGAATTCGAATGCATAGAGATTCGGTGGTTCCTAAATTTTGGGGTGTGAGAGGTTGGATATGTAGAGATTAGGGGTTGCGTGAAAGTGGAAATTCGAGAATTCGAACACTTAGAAATTTGAGAAACCATAAGTTTAAAAATTTAGAAATTCCAGAAGTCAGAAATCCAAAGATGTAGAAATCAAATATGGAAATTTGAAATAATGGAATTTGGATGTTTGGGAACTTGACTCGAAGTTTCAAAACTATCAGAACTCCACAACTTCAAATTCAGTAATTTCGGAGAAACTGAAATCATACTTCAACTGACATCAAATCATACTTCCTAAGTATCTACCAATATCCGAAACACCTTGAAGCAATTACTTCAAGTTTGTCCAAGGGTTTAATCTCAAGATAAAATCTCGCAAAATTTGAAAAGTAAAATAAGCTGGCAATAAGTGTTAACTACGCAGGTATAGAACGTTAACGGTGAACGATGATCGGTGCGCCAAGAGGGGCGATAAGTTAAAAACAAAATTCAAGGCCGCCTGTTTTATTGTAGAAGTCCAGTCTGTACCCTCGTCGGAACTTCCGAGTCCAGAACTTTACAGATGCAGAAGCAAGAAGGGGCCTCGAGGTCTCTTGCCCTCTTGTAGCTCAGGGGGTCCTCCATGGCTACGCAATAATATACCAGTCCCAGGGACAAAGCTGCAGTTTAGCGTAGCACATTATGCATTTACTGATGGTAGGTACCCGAAATAAAATCATAAAGTACCTAGCTTTACGGGGGCCTATCCTTTTTCAGGAATGTAACGGACTCGTTGGATCAAAATTATCGCTGTTAGTTTTCAAAATACAAAATTATTGGAAATATTTAACTTTGAATGCTTGTTTTACTTTTTGTTGTTTCACTTTGGTCACAGTTTGACAAATAACTGAATCAATACGGTGGTAGTTTTTTAAACAACCGAATTCTGTGTTTATTTATTCCGGGTACAATATTGGTACAGAACGAGGATTAAATTCTATAGTTTAATAGAAGAGTACATAAAGGTAAATTTAATATTTTTCAATATAACTGTAAAATATAATTAACGTAAAAATGTAAAGTGCGCTAAAGAAAATGAACTCTTCAATTAATATCGTCATTGAAATATTAAGAGCACATAAAAAAATAAATGCAATAATTTTCAATATAACTGTACGTAAAATAATGAACGTAAAAATGTAAAGTGTGCTAAAGAAAATTAACTCTACAATTAATATCGTCATTGAGATATTAAGAGCACATAAAAAAATAAATGCAATATTTTTCAATATAACAGTAAAATATAATGAACGTAAAAATGTAAAGAGTGCTAAAGAAAATTAACTCTACATTTAATATCGTCACCGAGTCTTTGATCAAAATTTTTCTCCACAAAGATTCACGTGTGCGAACCGGAAACCCTCGACTATCGAGCCTAATCGCATTACAATAAACAATTCGATAACGATCGATCCGTCCTGCCCCACGAAATTTGCAAACCATAGAAGTTCAATGTTTTCCCCTTTGACTCGTTTATCGAATCAATCTGAAGAGCTATCCGGGAACAACTCGATCAGAGAAAGAGTGAGAAACAAGGGGTGGCTACCCTTGCTCAAAGAAACGTCTGCCCTTACTCGATCGTCTGGCTCGAGGTTGGATCTTGATTTTTCGAGCTGAAACTACGCGTAAGAGCTTTCGGATTGTCGGTATACGTGCATCTGCCTTGCATGCGTCAACATAATGCAACCAGAGAGCAATGTTAACGCGGAAGTTTTGAGGCACAGCTGTTTCCAGCCTCGATTTATCGCGAATCGCAGGCCAGTCACATTGTGACGCAATCATGCCACGTGAAATTATTTCAGCTGTTGCGATAAATTGCGATAAACTCGTTAAGAAACTTCTTACGTTCATTTTGGAGCATTGGACTCTAGGGTTAATTTGGATATTATTCATTTATTTAATTATTTTTGGATATTATTATATAATTCGTTAGTAGATGATTTAAGGGTAGGATATGTTTGGTTCTATTTTATTTTAAGTTTCATTTCATTTTTAGGTAATGGTCATTGAGGATTGATATTCAAAGGCAATCGAGTATTCTTAAAGTTTTTTAAATAAATAAAATATTGCAGATTTTCATAAATGGAAGAATTGATGGACAGAATTGGATAAAATGGGCCTCGTCTTAGAACATAGACCCTATGGACAAGATTGCATATTAGATTATGATAAACATATAGCTCCAATTCTATTTTTGCAAAAATATAAAGTTACATTGATGACAGACATATTTTATTTATACTACCTCATTCACTACTACACTATGACGTTTCCAATAAACATCAATTTCGAACACGAACTTTAACTTTTAAAGCTAACATGGATACAACGTCAACAGAAATTAACATCATCATTTCTTAAAAAAAATACATTTAAATGAAGATGTTCAGACATTAAGTATAATTTCAATCATCAATTATAAAGAACAGAATTCTTGTTCAGTCCAGAGAGTTGTTGCTCAGTCAAGAGAGTTCTTAGCCAATTAACCCGTTGCAACGAAAAGACAAGAATAATTAATTTCCATCAACATAACGGAGATAGTTATCGTTTGTCCCGAAATCATGGAAGATTACCTGACCAGAGGCGGTGAAATAAATCAACGGGTCAACAGGGACGTTTACGTAGTATAAAGTCGGGAACACTGGCCCTGTCACGCTACGGTCCCCTAAAAGTAAAAGTCCGGTGCAATAATCACGGGTCATAAAGGTTTATCTGTTTATTGCGGCCGCCATTGCCTCTTGAAATGGGCTGTAACTGATTTTGTCAACAAAACAAACGTCCAGCATTTATTGTCTCGCTTATAGCGTGCTGCAGTTTCGTAAACGCACTACGATCCCTGTAAAACGTCTTTATTTTTTATAGTTTTACACGTTTATTGACAAGGTGTTAGAAGCGTGCCGCTCGAATTCGAGAATATTCAATGATTCACTGTTGGATGCTGTAAATTGTCGGAGAATTATGTTGCAATTTGGAGCAAGATTTATTGTCGGAAATTATTGCAAATTAATTGGTACTTTAGTAGGAATTTCTGGGTTATATTTTAGGGGTGTAATAGCTTCGAAAAAGCTATGGTTACGTGCTTGACTTTTGGGTTTTTCAAAATTTTTTATAATTAGAATTTTTTTAATTTTATAAGAGAGATATACTTGTGGGGATTCGAATAGGGGGTGGAAGATTTAGTCTCTTAAGGGTTTGAACAATTTTTGCCACTCAAGGGTTTGATCAATTTTTGCCATTCAAGGGCTTCATCAATATACAAAGATTTATGTACCGTATGTCAGTAGAATAATGGACAATTATGAGATATTTCGCAAAATAACGACGATAAAAAGTATGAACAAGATTCAATAGTTTTTATGGAGATCTCGAATCAGTTTCGCATTTTCCCATAGGGTTGCGTGCATTCGGCTCGTTTCTTCTCGTCGGCGTTGCGTAAAAGAAAGAGTTCATTGATGAAACGGTCGAGCAGAACATTGCGGTGCCGAGTAAACACTATTTAACGTTTCAGAAGAATTCCCACACAAGCCCTGACGTCCCTCCCGTATGCATCGTTGGCATCGTATCGCGTTGCGCGCGCCAGCCACACTTATGACGTACGTACACACGTCCGGCACACGGTGTGTTTGCCCTCCTCCGTCTATCGTATGCTTTCGCTGTGTATGGCTGGGGTCGTACGTGGCTCCCTGTGATCGTGTAATCAGCCTGCTTCTCGCAAACCCTCTTTGGAATATTCAGTCTTTTGTTTTCGTGCTCGAAATATTTATCGCTGTTGTTTTACCACCGATTCGAACACTATTTCTCCGTGCTGACTCAAAATACTAAACTTCTCCTTTAGCATTTTTAACTTCAGCTCATTAAAATTCTTTTGAATGAGTCACTTTATTATTTGAGTTTTAAACAATTTTTTGTACTTCTGAAGATTTGAATGAATATAACGTTGAATTCTTTTTACATTACATATATGTATGATCTTCGAAAAAATTCTTAAATGCTCAAACAGTTAATTGGAGACCTTTTCAAATTTTATTATTAACTGTACTTTTAATGATCTGAGAATTAATTTAATGATCTGAGTAGCTACTTGAGGAACGTCTTGAATTTTGGCTTAATGTAAGGAGCGAAACAGGAAATGAATTGTTCGACTTTCATCCCCACGATCGATGAAATTTCATAAGGTTCCCGCGTGGAGAAAGAAAATGGAAAGAAAAACAGCGTGCGAAGCGACGAAAGGAGTGGCAGAAGGAGAGACTCAAATTTCGAGGCAGACTATATCGGCGAGTCCTGGGGGACGGCGTGAATTCCCACACATCAACAGGTCTCAGGAGGACCGAGGACCTCCCCTCTCCAAAGGTATCCGGGCAGCCCCACTCCAGGACACGTTTCACCCCACTCCAGAGCCGGTGAGTGCATCGGCATGCGGTCTTCGAAATCGAAAACGTCAAACAGTTACCCTCCACACCCCAAGCGGGACGTCGCCGGTAGCGGCGATCATCCCCTTTCCGATGCCAGCGAAATTTCCCTCTTCGATTTCATTGGTGTATGTGGAAAAATTGCGAGGATTCGTGTGATTTTATGGAACAGTGCAGACATTCTACGTTCACGTGTCAGTGATCTTGGAACGGTTTTGGAGAACATTTCGAAGGTGTTGTGGTTTTTGACAGTGGTACGATATTGGTGCATAAATGGTGGATTATTATAATTACAAGATGTCAGGCAGCGAGGAGGAACCCGAGTCGCACTCGCAGTCGGGGATGACCAAGGCTGAATTGCGGAGGGTAATTTTAAAATTTACAATTAAGGGAAATTTGTCAGGATTTACTTTTTTCATTTTGATCTTTGAGAAGAATGGTGGCAAAGCACGTGGTGTTCATAGCGGAGACTTGATATTTTGTTTCTTTGAATACAATTGAATTTTAAAACACATGTGCTCATTTTTATTGAATCCATTATGATTCAAGTAAGTACAAATTTTCATGATATTTCGGACAACACGTTTAACAAATTTTTATTAGTAGAAAGTACATGTTTTTTTAATAGAGTAGATATAGGAGATTTGTTAGTAAAATGTTCCTCATTAACAAGATAAGATTTGTTAGAAATATCTGATGATACTTTGTATAGTTTCGAGATTGTCAAATATTATCAGTATTAATTTATTTAATACTGTGCAAGATCGTTGTAATGATGTTCACGTGGCACAGCATTGAAACAGCAAACTTTTATCCTCCAAACAGACTGCTCCGTAGAATACCATTTTCTTATGGTTCAAGTTCAGGTCGTAACTGATTTTACCCTTCGTTGGTCACATTTTACAATCCCAAACGATAAATTATCATAAATATTCATTGCCTGAGGAGCAACACATTTACTGCACATGAGATATCAACAATGATGTTGCTAATAAATTATCAATATAAATATTAATACTAACAATACTCTCCACAATACATTACTACTAACAATACTAATACAATCCTCAAAATTTATCAAATAAATAAAATCATACCGTTAACCACGTGTTGCACATCCATTCGATCCCAAGATGACTTCCCAGAACTCAAAAGCTAGAATTCGAGCTATTTGTGAAAAGTCCTTGAAATCAGCTCTTTCCTTTTAGAGTAACAAGCCGATCATGGAGAAACGAAGGCGTGCTCGGATTAATCAATGTCTGGACGAATTGAAGAGTTTGATACTCGAGGCGATGAAAAAAGACGTGAGTATATCCAAGCTTGTCGAACCTGTTATCGGTAGAACGCGTGATAGCGGTTGATCTTCCACAATCGATTGACCAGCTCGATTGTGACGGACAGATTGCCCTGGGATATTAATCTCTTAATCTCGTGACACGATGTAACGAGGAATTCTTGACGGAACGGTCGCATCAGCAAAGCTCCGCGAGGACGATAGCAGAAGCGTGCGCCTATACGCGTGATTTCAGGCCGGTACTCATGGAATCCACGTTGTCGCCGGCGCCCGAAACGTGCCATGGTAAAACGTGACCTGTGCACGATTTATCTAGCAACGTGAGCCGAGTTTACGAGAGATAACGCGAAAATATGCGCAAGCTCTCTCATCAAGAGTCTCCAAGAATGAACGAGCTACGTTCTTCTTCTCGATGACGTACGGAATGTTCTTTTCGATGCAGGAATCTTGAAAATCTGCAGATCATTCACTTTTCAGAGATTCCCATGTTCAGGAATTTCAGAACAAATCAGAGGTCCAAGATCGGAGGTCTAAGACTGTTTTTGAATTTCCAAGTTTCTAGCTTTATGAGGTTCTGAACTTTTAGATTGCTAAATTTTCAAACTCCTAAGTTTTCAAATTCCTAAAGTTCCAAATTCCTTAAATTCCAAATTCCTATATTATCAAGTACCTAGAATTCCAAATTTCTAAATGACCAAAATCCCCAATTCTCTACGCTCCAAATTCCCAAATCTCCCGATCCCAAAATCCCCAACTTCCATTTCCCCAGAATTCCCAAATCCCCCGATCCTAAAATCCCCAACTTCCATTTCCCCAGAATTCCCAAATCCCCCGATCCTAAAATCCCCAACTTCCAATTCCCCCAAATTCTCAAATCTCCCGATTCCAAAATCCCCAACTTCCATTTCCCCGAAATTTCCAAATCTCCCGATCCCAAAATCCCCAACTTCCATTTCCCCGAAATTCCCAAATCTCCCGATCCCAAAATCCCCAACTTCCATTTCCCCGAAATTCCCAAATCTCCCGATCCCAAAATCCCCAACTTCCATTTTCCCAAAATTCCCAAATCTCCCGATCCCAAAATCCCCAACTTCCATTTCCCCAAAATTCCCAAATTTCCGGATCCTAAAATCCCGAATCCTCTACGTTGCAAATTCCCAAATCTCCCGATCCCAAAATCCCCAACTTCCATTTCCCCAAAATTCCCAAATCTCCCGACCCCAACTTCCCTTCCCCGAAATTCCCAAGCTACCTCTGACCTTCCAGATCCACAATTCCCCAAATATCCCTCCCATCATATCCAATTCTCCTCCACAATCAGTACCCTGCAATAATGCACATCTAAATAGCTTAAAAATGCTGCTACAGCGCAACAAAAATTGTTCCAATCAAATATCTTCATTCTTCTCCACTCAAGTTCATTCGATAGCCATCGAAACGGTAATTGGTCGGAATCATAATTCGTCGGATGAGCCATATGGATCAGCCATGGCGGATCGTTTCGGTACTCACTGTATAAAGGTCAAGAGTCGATCTTTTAATTAAACTGATACGAATAGCCTGACAGAGCGGATGTTGGTTAGGTTAGAAACGTTTGATCAGACCGTCTCCTTTTTCTGCCCGCCGCCTTCTTCAACTGCGACACGATTTGTTTTTCGACCGTAAAATCGGGACTAGTAGCACGAGGTGGACGGGTTTTGTTTTAGCGTTTTAGATGCCTTGCCGTGGGAACGGATGGTGGAAGCCCTCTGCCAACACGTAATCTCCGCTGTAGACTCTACAATGGCACTTCAGTTCGTCCGAACGAGTGCCAAGCCAGTGTTGGGCACATTCCACTTGATCCCTCTTTCAAATGAATCGCATTTCGTTGCACGAGCTTTTGCTGGAGCTAACAATTAAGTTAGGAAGTTTCTACTGGGGACTAAAGATTCACACATCTATGTGGAACGGGGCTGAACTCTCATATGATCGTTTACTATTTCATTTCATACATTTTAATAATTTATTCATAGTCAGTTATTAGGCCCCTAACAATCAAATATAGATACATCTACAAATTTTGTATTAATAATTTGGTGAGTGCACATTTTGTGCAATACTGTTGCAATTTTCAACATGGTGTTGAATGTGCTTATGACACATGTGGTTATTAATTGAACTCAAGGTTTATTTTTGATTTCGTCAAACATTCGACAATAAATGCTTCAAGCACAATTATATGTTTGAACAAAGATTTCATTCGATTTCTAATTAGGTTGAGAAACACTGTAAATGTATAAAATTAATTCAATATACGGAATTAAAAAACAAGATTCTGTTTTCATTATCAGTTCACTGAATCATAGTCTAAAAATAACGTATACTAGCATTTTCTAAAAATAGAACACTTCACTCTGTCACCTCCCTTGTGTCAGCAATTTGATGACTAGTTCATATTTCTGAAATCACAGATGACAGCACGTTGTACATCCTGAGACGTGCAGGAAGAAACGATTTAGATTCCAGACCCTAAGATGGCTGCCTTCTATTTACTGAAAAGGGATGTTGAGTTTGGGAGTTAATTTTAATTTGGAAACTTGGAAATCTTATCTTTATGGATTTAGAAATTTAAGGACTTGGTTAATTTCAAACTTGCAAAGTTTGGATTTGGTCATTTGCAAACTTGAAGATTTGTAATAAATATTAGTTTGTATAAGTGTCGACTTCCTCTGTCGACATTTTTCACTAGGACTTTCCCTGGGAAAAGGGTACAAAGCCTTCATCCACACAATAACTATAATATAGTCTGTAATAGTATGACTACTACGTATCAAAAATATAATCTTAAGGTAGACTGAGCTTGCAAGATTTTCAAAAGAAAAAGAGGAGTTTCATCTCCGTTCCCGCGATTTTCACGCAACGACAGAGGACTCCCGATCGCGTAATACGATCCAGCGAGATTGATTTCTCAGGCAAGAGCGTGTAGCAAGAGAAGCGAGTCGCTCTCACCGTTCTCTCCTCCTCGTCCAGATGACTTCCGCTACCTGCTCGCTCCAGTGTCCGTCCCGTTCGCCCGTACGAAACGCCCCCCGCGTTCGTGGGAACCTCGAAATAATTATTACGAGGAGAAAAAAAAAGAATCTCATCTCGGGTTGCAGTCTCCCTTTGTTGACCGTATCATCTTTAAGGATCCAGCTTCGCGAGGACGGCGCCGATCGTCCTAAAAAAGGAAGAGGACGCCCTTGCCTTCTTCAGTTGCTCCTTCAGCAGGTGTCCGTTCTTCGGTGTCGCGGGAAATCGATTTCCGCATCGAGTCCCGTTGTTTGCCCACCGACATCGATACTTTTCAAAACAACGACTCTGTGTTTCTGGCTTTGATTCTTGTTTGTCGAATTGTCACGCACTCGCTTCGTCGAGAAGCTGTTGAGCTTCAATGACCTGCGTAAGCGATCTCTTCGACTCCCACGCTTATTTGGAAGGTGACCGCTGATTTACCATGAAAATGCACTGGCCTGATCCAGGGACTAGAAATGTAGCGCAGCACAATGGGATTTCGAGGCTCTAGAACTGTATTGAGCGATTGATCCCTGAAAGGTTTGTGGGAAGTGTAAGGAATATTGAAAGGGCTGTAGCACACGAAAAAAGCTGAGGGAAACTCGGGAGATCACTCCGTTCCCACGAACTGCTTTCGTTTTTTCGTCTTACTACTTTTTTCGAGATTAGGTACTCGCGAGGATGGACTTCCACATCACTGTCCTCGCTAGAAAGAAAGACCCACCACTAAACTTCTACATTTCGTAAATTTCTCAATTTCATGGAAGGACACTGATAGAAAAATCCTCTTCACTTGTCCTCAAATGTAGTGCAAATCGCAGCCGAGTCTCACGGTTACTTAGAACTGCATTTCTGATTACAGCAATTATTATTCCGCTGGTTCTTCTTGTCATTACCCAAGAAACAATTTGCATGCAACCGACGGTTAGTTCATAGAAATTACGAATGGAAATTAGTAAAAAAAATTCATGTAGAATGCCACGCGTAGCCTCCGGCTGACTATAAAATTGCCCGCACTAGCTACCGAAGTTGCTGGCCTGTTATTAAGGTAACTGAACGTATCAAGCCAATTACGTGGGCGTTACCGAGGCGTCACAGACTTCTTGAACGCACGATCGGTATTCATACTTCATCCTCAAGTGTATCCTAGGGGCATCATTTGATTACTGAGCTTTGAACAAGGTGAGAACGATTTTACCGTTGGGTAAAACGTATCTCTGTTTTATCATCGATCGGTAAGTTAGGAAATCTCTTATCAACCGAGTCAGGTTAGGTTATAGTTACCTATATTACCGACTGTGTAAAAGTTTTTATCCCAGGGTAAAGATCCTGTTACACCGAATTATACAAATTTTCTACACAAAAGCTAGATTTTAGAATCGTAAAATGTTTTTCAAACAGTGAATTATAAACGGTTCTTTTTCTGTTTCAGCCAACGAGGCATTCGAAACTCGAGAAAGCTGATATCCTCGAGATGACGGTGAAGCATTTACAAGCGGTACAGCGTCAGCAATTGAGCACAGCGGTCGCTACCGACCCGGCGGTGCTAACGAAATTCCGTTCCGGATTTTCCGAATGTGCCACCGAAGTATCGCGGTACGTCAGCCACCTCGAGAACGTCGACCCTGTTGTGAAGCAACGACTGGTATCACATTTGAACAATTGCGTTAGCAATCTCCAGCAAATGGCGCCATTCTACAGCCACTACGTGCCCTACATGCCGGAACGCCTCTACCCGGAGGTGAAGGTCGGTTTCCAGAGCGATTTCCAGAATGGCGACGAGAATAATAATGGAAGTGCCAGGATACAGATACCGAACGGTGTTCAGCTGATACCCAGCAGACTACCTACGGGAGAGTTGGCGCTTCTGGTACCCCAGTCGGCGGCCATTTCGGCAACTTTTCCTTTCTTTCCACCGGCTCCAGAGTCTACCTCCAAAATCGGACAGTCTTCAGCTTTCACGTCTGTCCATAGATCGCAGAGTCCATTGTTGAGTCCGTCTACGTCCACCTCCAGCTACGGAGAGGAGAATCATCAGTCTGAACACTATGCGATTGCCTCGCCTAATCGCCAGCATCGGTTTAAAATCCCCGAGCAAAGTCCAGCCTCCTCGAAGAGTTTCTCTTCTTCTCCAGAAACACAGAAGCCACAAATCAGTTCTAGCAGCGACAGGAAATCACCAATGCCCGTCTTCATGGAACCCAAGGAAACGAACTATGCGTCCAGAAAGGAGGCTGATTCCTCAGAAACGCTGAACAGCAACGGGTCGGTTCACAATTTGCGACAACCGCTTTCGGTCATCACAGATAAAACCTACAATCGCGCCAGTTCACTGGCTACCAAGAAGGAGACTCTCAAGAGGCATAACTCTGATGGACTACTTGTGATCTCTGATAAAAGACCAAGGTACCAGGACAACGCTGGCACCTCGGTTCACCTGAATTCTTCTAACGCGAAACCTGAAGATCAAGCGGTCTCCGTGGATGATCTGTCTGGAAGAGCGACCTGCTCCACTAATAGAAATTCTAATTCTAATCCTGTCAAGTTCGCTGTGGCTGGTCCTTCGGGCGCTAACGGGGATATGTGGAGACCGTGGTGATTCGCAAACGTGTTCTTGTTTAATTGCTTTCGAATTGATTAAGATGTTTTAACACGATATTGTAAGAAATTCTCAATCAAAAGGGTCTCCAATTGTACCTCTACGTGGATTAAAATAGTGCCTTAACGTTGTGCGTTATCTTCAACAATTGTAACTCGTTTTATTTTACATATGATGCATGTTTTACGATAAGTATTGTTATATTTATTGTTAGTGTAAGACTTAGGTAAGATTAGTAAATCGATTAGGGTAGCGGGTAGGACAATGATGATCGACTGCGTCAGGTAGGACATTGGTAGTTAATTTTCGATATAAAATTTCGAAGTTTTTGTTTCTAAACTTTTACATTTGCAAATTACTATATTTTCATGGTCGAAGATTTGAGAATTTGATAAACTTCGAAATTTTACTATTGATTAATCTGCCATTTAGGAAAGAATGTTAAGAATTTAAGTGTACCGTCGACGACCACCTCGATAACAGGAACGGCCAACTCAGTATCCTCGCATGTGAAGACTTCCAAGCTTTAAGTACAATAAGTTAGCCATTGTGAATAATTTTGTAAATAATCGTCGATCTTATTTAATGTAACGGTTAGACGTAGTAGCTTAAAGTGATTTTGTCGGTAAGTTAAGTTGATGTTGCCAGTTTGCGATTAGGTTAAATAAATGTGAAACGGACATTGTGATCAGTCTTCGTTGTACCTGTTTTATTTCTTGTCGAAAGTCAATAAAGCCTGTCGTAAGGAAACGAATCTCGTTGGGATGTATAAAGTTCGTTGAAAGAGAGAGGAAAAAAGAAAAGCGAAAAAGATCTCCTGGTTGTGGTCTCTGTCGATATGTCCCGTGGTCGCGTGAAAGGCTCGGCAATTTCCCTTGCTGAAAAAAGCCGTCGGGGCCGCTTTATCCTTTTAAGAAGCGTTAAACGCGCCCCGATTCATAAACTGGAACTTATTCTTTCCTTTTTTGCCGATAAAGGAGCAAAAAGGCGCGGCGAATGAGAATTTCAACCACCTGTTACACCGCAAAACCACCCCCTTTCTCATCGACTGAATGCTTAAACTGATTTATCGACAGACACCGTGAAATTTGTTGAATGCCCTTAGCGTTATTCGACGGACGCTCGATTCACCTTCTAGTCGTTGAAATTCTTAATTTCGACGTTGATTTATGGTCTTAAAATGGAACACCGTAATTTCCTCCAATATCCATCGACTATGCCACATTATTATGCATGCACCCGGTCTAAACACTCATTAGTTTCGGCTTATCGTAATCCTTCAGCAATATTGATTCTACGTTAATCAGGGTGGAACGGGTACAGCTATTTGGGAAAAAATTGACACATTTTTTTTTAGCCCTAGAAGTTCCTTTGGGGTTCGTTAGATGGCAGCACGGTAGCTTTGGAAACAATGGTGGCGAAGTTTTTAGAAGCTTCGTGAAAATTCCCTGAGTAGACATTCAAGTTTTTTAAGGACTTATAATTTAGGCTTTTGTATAATGATTTTTTATAAAATTATTTTTCTGTATTTCGTGTGGGTATTCGTATTCAATATTTGTTCACTTATTCTAAAGATAACGATGTAAGATGTTAAATTAGTATTTGGAAATGTTCGTCTGAATTCTGCGATTGAGGTTTCATATAAGTCATTATTATTAATTTGTACTCTGTATACATAGTTTTGTAAAATAATATAAAATCAGTCTGTTTCTTGTTCGTGTTTTATTTACCCATGAACAACGTAATTACACACTACATCTAATTCAATCATATTAAATAAAAATGCTAGTACGGATACGTAATTTTATAAGTAGTAAATAAAAGTAATTTATTTAAGTCAAGAAATATTTCAATTATTAATAAAAACTGTAACTTAAACTGTAATCTTAATATAATAAAACCGAACAACTCTAATATCACTGTATCAGATTTATAATATCCTTTAATCGATTCAGTACGTTCTTTTTACCTTTTACTAATCACAAGTTGTCAACGATTTGTATTACAATGTGTTCCAGCCCGTACTTCAATTTTCAATATGGTAGTCAACCGGTAGACGATTAATAGCTGTCAAGATCGCACGATTCGTATCCTTCTCTTCCAGCATAAAGATTAAATAGGTTTTCAGAGAAAGATTCATTTGTAAAGAACGAATTCGAACGAGTCGAGAGATTTTTCCTGGTGGCGTAGATTCCGTCTTGTGTCTAGCGCGAAGCATCGAAGTCGCCGATTCGTCGGCGCGCGTCGCGAGATTAATATCGCGAGGACCTTTTCGATATTCACGCTTACAATTATAACAGTCGAGATAGAGAATACTCGTGGCCGGAATAACCATGGCCGCAGCCATCTATACTCTATATCACGTGTATAAATAATTACTCCGGCGCGCAGCAATTACTATAAGTTATGGCCTAGCCGGCACAATTTGCAATGTCAAGACATAAACACTGCTACCGCTTACATTTGAATACATTAAAGTGGCACGGGACGCCCTGATTGGTCGATCGGGAGTGGCTCAAGCCCCGTATCGGTACGTGAGCTACGATCTGGTTGACGATTTTTATTACGGAAACGATCATCTCGTTGGCTCCGGGCATTCGATGCCTTTTCTGCTCCGCACTTGCACTGCCCTTTTACTATTGCCTCTCCGCTGATGGATGCCCATTCCCATTCCGTTCTCGATCGTTCGCTAAACTGGATTTGCGATTCCCGATCGATCTTGAAGTATTTACGACACTCCCGTTCCGATAATTCCATTGGTCAATTGTTTTATGACAATACAAGAAGAGCGACGTACCAGCCGATGCTGCTGCGTACCGCTGTTACTTTAGCCTGATTCGGATGAACTTTTGTTAATGTATGGATGAAGAACGCTAGTGAATACGAAGGCAGATTACGAGGCTGCGAACGAGTTTCAGAAGTCGTAGTTTACGTGAGTTTCTCCAATTAGAGACGAGGGATACGATTTTTCTTCACGGAGTAATTGATGAGATGTCCAGCTTTGTTCTCAAGGGAAACTTGTTTTTCGTTGGTCTTCAAGATTCATGAACACGCTTCTTGCAAATTTTTATTTGGGTCAGAACAGCAATTCGATACTGTGAAATCGATCTATAATTCGCTGAAAACAATTATTCTAAAATTTTTTAAATTAACTGAGTTTGAAATTGCAGCTCGGTAAAACATGTTTATTACCTTCACTTAAAACATGTTTATTTACCTTCATTTTTCTGGTGAAACTGTTACAAAAGGTGGTGTTTCTCCACAAAATTCGAGTTATACGGGATCATATTATATTTGAATCGATAGCCGTTGACCACATCCATCAATATCCCAAAAATCTCCCTCGCAAAAGAAGCAAGCAAAACCGAACCGCCGGTCCGTCCTCAAGGAACGACCTGACCACACACCGTGATCCATAATTGAATCTGTCGTGCAACACCAAAAAATATCACGATTTCGAAACAAGTCGACGCGTCCTCCGAACGAGAGTAGCTAGCGGCGATCGATTTTGAAGCGGATGGCGAAATCACCGGTGAAAATCATCGGTGCAACTCGTTTCCGTTACACAGTGGTCAACCGAGGGCGAGTGTCTCGGGCGGTGGATATAGCAATCGTGGAGTGTTTTTCGCGTTGTTATATCTCGGGTCGGTTCCGATCGCGAGCACGACAGAGACGCGTAGACCCTGCAGGACCAAGAGAGGAGGAGGAGCGGTTTCGTCCGCGCGTATAGTGCGGCTGCCAGGCCATTTGCCTCTGCGGTCTCTTGATTCCTAGCGACTAAATTTTCATCTGTACTCATTCAAGTTTTAATGTGTTTTTGCGGCATCAGTCATTCAAACTTAATCAACAACCAGTTACGCGCTGGTTCAGGCGCGCGCGCGCGCGTTCATTTCTCGTCCCAGCGATCGTGCACACACGTGTACACGTAGGGTTGTCGGTTCTCGTGTTCGTGTCAGTGTGGAAGAGTGTGTGGGCGCGACGGAATATTGGTCGGCCGCTCTGTGACGAGAGCGTATTAATTATAACTCTGGTCAGAGGAACGTCAAGAGATGCTTTTGCAGATACCTACGATAAATTGTCGGTTTACCAGCAAATCTCATTTCCAAACCCCGCCATTTTTCCGCTCGTTTGTCCACGCCCATCGGCCAGAGAACAACGCTATGCCCGCGCCTAGCGATCGCGGTATTCCCTTCCTTTCCTTCGCCGTTTATGTACCTATAGGTATCTACGTACACGTGTGTACACACGTCCGACACCGGTCGTGCGCGACTGTCGCGTGCACAAGAGTGCAATGACAGCGAAAGGGAGAACGCTTTTATCCAATAAACTTGATACGGGTAATAGGAATGTCGGCATTGACTGTCTTGTCGCGCGTTAACGGCCCGACTCTTCCCTTATCAGCCCGACCGGACCAAACTACGCTCGAGTTTTTTAGGGGACATGCATCTCGTCATTTGGGAAATTGCGAACAACGAAGGGGACTTGTTCTGCATATTGGACTAATTGACGATTCGAATGGTCGCTTTTTAGTCACTTTTACTTAATCTCAATCTCCAAATTGATGGAAGAGGTATCACATTCAATTTGATACACGTACTGACTTTAAATTTGGACTTCAGCTTCAAATGCATCTATTACAAGTTCTGTCTTGTAATGGAGGCGTATGTATGCTTTGAAACTACTAGTTAGAGTAATTGATAGCCAGGTGTTTTGTGCAAAAGAAAATCATGAAATCTTTATACAATCATTTTGATCAGAATTCAAGCTTTAAATTGATATATCATACCTTCTATTTTGTCACATTTTTATGACATTAAATTCATCATACAGGTCTCCAATTGCTATCACTAATTGATAAACAGTCGTGTTGTATAAAAGAAAATTGGTAAAACGTTCGTACAGCCATTTTCGAGAGGCATGTGTGAACAATGCAATATTTTTACGTCATCACATCAGACTTCGTACATTTGGACCATCTGATACTCAACAACCTAATGAACAAATCTCCCCTGTTCTTCAAACAACTGCAGATTACGGTGTGCCATCAGAACGGATCAAAATTTTAATTACAAAGTTCCATTTGAAAAATCAGATTTCGCTTAAACAGTTTCAATTACCGGAACGCGCGTCTCTAACCGAGCACCGGCAAGAGTCACCCCTCAGAGTCTGCAAAGCGTGTGACGAGGCAAAAGAGAAACGGAAATAAAATCCGAACCAATTGTCCAATCTCCAAACACATTCCCCGGTTGGGGCCTGGTTTACGAAGTTTTACCGTGTACACGCGTGCCGAATTAGCCGAGTGTGGCAGAGAGAAGTGTCGGGGCAAGTAGTAGGAGAGACATTTATTTGCCTGTCGCTGGACCAGTTGGAAAGTTGTGCCGCTACCGAAGGGAGGGCAACAAGATCGACGTTATCCCCGCAAGTGGTAGGGGAACGTTAAAAAGACGAGGAAGAAACAACCCCGTCGCTTAGAGGGGAGCGGAGAATGGAAGGACTCGTTCACGATGCGGTACAAAACTCGAGAGAGAAACGAGGACGGCGCTGAAGGTGTTGAAGCGTGACCAAGGGAAAAAGAAGAGGACGGGGGGAAAAGGAAAACAGAACGGGCGAGCGTAAGCGTTGGATTTGTGTAAAGGCGTCCGTGTGTAATCCGTGATCGTGTGCCGGTGAGGGCAAACCGAGTAAGGGGTCCCTGGCACGCTGAGGGAGGTCCGAAGAGCAGGGAGGAGCGAGCATGTTTTATTAAGTGCGTCGCGCGTGGAAAAAGCGCGAGGCAATTTTCAGGTGCTAAAGGGAACGCTGATAACGC